GCTAATGACCTTTTAATGACCAATTTCCACGTCCCAAATCTCAACCTGTTTTTCTCAAACCCAAGTTTGTTCCTCGCAGGATACGTTGCGTGATTTTCGTGCGAATCTGAGCTCCGTTCGCAGGTCCACACTGCAGCCATAATCCGGTTTGAGACCGCTTTAACTCCCCCGGCTCAGTGCTGGGGAATCCTGGGAAATTGTAGTTAGCTTTGTGAGACATTTATCCTTCTCTGTCAGAGAGCTCTGGTGCCACAACGAACTACAATTCCCAGGCACCGAGTCAGGGCGGTTAAAGCGGTCTCAAAGCGGCTCATTTCTGCAGTGGGTTTTGGACCTGGGTTTCCACAGCCGAGCCAGAGTCCCAACCCCAACGCTCAATCCACTACAACACGCTTTTATGCCTGTTTATTACTCCGCATCGGGCCGAATCGCTTATGGAGCCGAATCCGTCTGAGGCCAGAAGCATGAGGGAAATGGCGCTCACCTCCGTGGCGCCCAGTCGGGACTGCACTTCCCTCAGGAGAAAGGCCTCCATCCCGCGTCCCGCAGTGCAGAAATAACGGGCAGGGCGACGGGAAGGCCTCTCTGAGGAGGGTTGGAGCTCTTCTCCCTCAGCCATGGCGGTTAATTTCGTCGCTGGGAGCAAAACAAAACCTAAATGCCTATTCCTTGCGTGTGAGGAAATGGCGGGTGCGGCCTGTAGGCGGCAATATGTGCGGCTCGAGATATTGCCGCCTACAGGCCGCACCCGCCATTTCCTCACACGCCGTAAATCCAGTCAGGATTTACAGTTGTTTCAAATAAATAAGCATCTTCTTCTTCTTCTTGTGTGCCTCCAAGGGTCCTACACTACAGGCCGCACCCGCCATTTCCTCACACGCGAATAAATCCAGTCAGGATTTACAGTTCTTTCGAATAAAGAAGCATCTTCTTCTTATGTGAAGTTGTAGGCTTTCATGGCCGGCATCCATAGTTTTTTGTGGCTTTTTTGGGCTGTCTGGCCATGCTCTAGAAGAGTTTCTTTCTGACGTTTCGCAGATGCTGGCGAAACGTCAGAAAGAAACTCTTCTAGAACATGGCCACACAGCCCGAAAAAGCCACAAAAAACATTTTCTTCTTCTTCTTGTGTGCCTCCAAGGGTCCTACACTTATGGCCACCCTATCATGCGGGTTTCTTGGCATGTTTCATCAGATGGGGCTTCCTGCCATGGCCATCCTCTGATGCTGAGAGAGTGTGACTTGCCCAAGGTCCCCCAGTGGGTTTATTAAATGGCTCAACTTGGATTCGAACCCTGGTCTCTAGAGCCATGGTCCAGTGCTCAAACCACTATGCCACTCTCGCTCTCCTGAGGATTTACTTTCTTTCCTACAAAGAAGCTTGTTGTTGTTGTTGTTGTTGTTGTTTGTGTGCCTCTTTTCGACTTACGGCGATCATAAAAGGCCAACCTATCATGGGGTTTTCTTGGCAAGATTCTTCAGGGAATTTTGCCATCCTCTGAGGCTGAGAGAGTGTGACCCAGTAGGTTTACATGGTCACCCAGTAGGTTTACATGCTGGAACCTGAGTTGTGGTGTTGGTGGCAATATCCTGGGAGCCCTTGTGGTGGTCTGGTGTGAGTGTTGGACTATGACTGTGGAGACCAGGGTTTGAATGCCATCTCAGCCATGGAAACCACTGGGTGACCTGAGGCAAATCACACTCTCTCAGCCTTGAGATGGCAATAGCAAACCCCCTCTGAAGAAACTTGCCAAGAAAACACCAGAACAGGTTCACCTTAGCGTTGTCCTAAGTTGGGAACTACTTGAAGGCACACAACAACAACAACAGCAACAGGTGGGATTCGAACGCTGGTCTCCAGATTTATATCCCAGTGCTCAAACCACTGGCTCTCCTGAGGATTTACTCTAGTATAAAGAAGTTGTTGTTGTGTGCCTCCTCCAGGTCCTTTTCGACTTCGGGCGATTCTATGAACCTATCCTGGGGTTTTCTTGGCAAGATTTCTTCACAGGGGTTTGCCATTGTCTTCCCCTGAGGCTGAGAGCATATGACTTGTCCAAGGTCACCCGGTGAGTGTACATGGCCATAGTAAATTACCCACTATACTCTTTGTTGTTGTTGTGTGCCTTCAAGCCTTTTCTAACTTATGGCGACCTGAAGGGGAACCTATCCTGGGGTTTTTTTGGCAAGATTTGTTCAGAGGAGGTTTGCCATTGTCTTCCTCTGAGGCTGAGAGCATGTGACTTGCCCAATGTTATCCAGAGGAGGTTTGCCATGGCCTTTCTCTGTGGTTGAGTGTGACTTGCCCAAGCCCCCCCAGGGAATCGAACCCTGGTCTCCAGAGTCATAGTCCAACACTCAAACCACTATGCCTTGCTTATAGTGCTTCTATTCTGCTTTTACTGCTCTGGCTGCCTCCTGTGGCATTCTGGGGTTTGTAGTTCAGTGAGGCCTAAGAGCTCTCTGGCTGAATATTCTAAACATGTCTAGATTTTTGCTGGACATTCACATTTTTTAACCCTAAATGAATGTCCCGGCCTGGGTTTGGAGCCAGTCCTGGCCCCCCCCTCCTCCTCCTCCTCCACCATTTTGAGTATGACTAAAAAGCATGGATTTATATTAATGTTTTTGGCTTTTAGTTGGCTGCATCCTCCATTTTTCTTGAATGTCCTACACTTTGGCCTAAATTTTGTCCTACATTTTTTTCTACATCTTGTCCCAGTTTGGTGGTAGAGAATTATGGCATCCCTATGCCCGTCCCTAAACTACAAATCCCAGAATGCAACAGCAAGCGGCCAGGGCAGTTAAAATGGAACAGGAGCACCATAAGAGTGTGTGCAGGAATTAAGCAGAGCAGTCGAGGAGAGAAGAAGGTCTTGGAGATGCCTCATTCATAGGGTCGCCATGAGTCGAGATCGACTCGAGGGCAGTTAACAACAAAAGACAAAGCGTAGTAATGAAATCCTTGAATAATCAAATCCATAAAAGTCAAAGCCACAAGCACTGGAGGGCTGGCTGTACTTCCATGTTTTTGTTGTTGTTGTTAACTGTCCTTGAGTCGGTCTCGATTCATGGTGACCCTATGGATGAGACATCTCCAAGACCCTCTGTCCTCCAATACACTGCTTAATTCCTGCAATCCCTTAATACCCATGACCTCCTTAATAGAGTCCATCCATCTAGCATATGGCCTTCCTCTCTTCCTACTTCCCTCTACCTTTCCCAGCATTATTGTCTTTTCCAAAGAATCCTCCCTTCTCAGGATGTGTCCAAAGTATGACAGCCTCAGTTTGGTCATCTTGGCTTCCAGGGAGGTTTCCAGCTTGATCTGCTTGATCTTCGCATTGGTCTCGACCCATGGTGACCCTATGGATGAGACACCTCCAGGCCACACTGTCCTCCACTTTAATGCTTATTTATAGCAAATAACCGGAGTAATAATATTTCCCCACCCCAAAAGCTTTTAAAAATTGGTGTTCTTTGAAAAAAAAGGAACGGTTCCTTTGTGGAAACGAAATGGACGCATCCCTGCGCGGAGTCTCATGGGATATATATGCAAATAAGCCACCTCGTGGCGCTGAGAGGCTTCAGAGAAGGTTGTAACTTAACGGACTTTTATAATGGCGGACTTGTGTGCGCGCATGCGCATTTGAGTTGCCTGTCAGGTTACGTGGTGGCTCCGTGGATTTTGTGGAGTTTGGTTTATTGATGTGTGGCACCATGTCGTTTTTATCTTACGGCGACCCTAAGGCGATACTGTCAAAGGGGTTTCGCTATTTATTTTATGTTTCCAAGATTTTTGGCAACATTTATCCAGAGGAAGTTTGCTGTGATTGGCATCCTCCGAGGCTGAGAGAGTGTGATTTGCCTAAGGTCACCCAGTGGGTTTACATGGCCAAGCAGGGATTCAAACCCTGGTTTCCAGTGCCGTAGTCCAACACTTTTCTTGGCTAAATTTGTTCCGAGGGGGTTTACCATGACTGCCATCCTCTGAGGCTGAGAGAGTGTGACTCACCTGAAGTCACCCAGTAGGTTTACATGGCTAAGCAGGGATTTAAACCCTGTTCTCCAGAGTCATAATTTGACGCTTTTCTTGGCAAAATTTATTCAGAGGAAGTTTGTCATGATTGCCATCCTCTGAGGCTGAGAGAGTGTGACTTTCTTAAGGTTACCCAGTGGGTTTACATGGCCAAGCAGGGATTCAAACTCTGGTCTCCAATGTCATAGTCCAACGATTTTCTTGGCTAAATTTATTCCAAGGGGGGTTGCTGCGATTGCCATCCTCTGAGGCTGAGAGCTTGTGACCTGCTTAAGGTTACCTAGTGGGTTTACATGGCCATGCAGGGATTCAAACCCTGGTCTCTAGAGTCATAGTCCAACACTTTTCTTGGCTAAATTTATTCCAAGGGGGACTGCCACAATTGCCATCCTCTGAGGCTGAGAGAGTGTGACTTGCCCGAGGTGGGTGACCTTAAGTAAGAAATATTCAGAGGTGGTTTTGCCAATTCCTTCCTGTGAAATTTAGCCTATATGTGTATATCTTATTTGTCTTTTTAAAATTGATGTGTATTTTAGCCTATGTGTTTTAACTGACGTTTATCTGTTAATTGTTCTTGTTCCTTGCCTTGATCCATGGGGAGAGTTTGACATGACTTGAACCGCCATGGCTCCATCCTACGAAATGCTGGGATTTGTAGTTTTGCAAAGCAGCAGCACTTCTTGGTAGAGGAGGCGAAAAACCTTGTAAAACTACAAATCCCAGGATTCCATGGGGTGGTACTACAGCACTTACAAAACTGCATTATTTCGACAATGCAGATGCGCCCCTAGGCTGCATTCGCACTGCAGAAATAATCCAGTCTGACACCACTTTAACTGCCATGGCTCAATGCTATGGAATTCTGAGAATTATGAGGCATTTCACCTTATCAGAGATCTCTGGTGCCACAACACACTATAACTCCCAGAACTCCATAGCATTTGAGCCATGACAGCTAAAGTGGTGTCAAACCAGATTAATTCTGCATTGAGGATGTAGTCCTAGTAGTCTAAACCTTATGCTACAGTTAGGGCCTTTACAGACTGCCAGAAATAATGCAGCTTGAGTCCACTTTAACTGTCCTGACTCAGTGCTAGGGAATCATGGGAATTGTATTTTTTTCTGAGACATTGAGCCTTCTCTGTCAGAGAGCTCTGGTGCCACAATAAACTACAGATCCCATTATTCCCTAGCACTGAGCCAGGGCAGTTAAAGTGGCTTCAAGCTGGATTATTTCTGGCAGTCTGCAAAGGCCCTAAATCTCAAAGGTGTTACAAGATCCCTTTGCAAGCTGGTACTATAGTTTCAGGAAGACAATGGACAACAGATATCAAGACAGCCAGCGTGGAATAGTGTTTGAGGGTTGGACAAGGACACTGAGAGGCCTGGGTTCGAATCCCGGCTCAGCCATATAAACCCACTGGTTGACCTGGGGCAAGTCACACTCTCCCAGCCTCAGAAGATGGCAATGGCAAACCCTTTCTGAACAAATCTTGCCAAGAAAAGCCCATGATAGATTTGCCTTAGGGTTGCCATTAATTTGGAAACGACTTGAAGGCACACAATAACAACAACAACAACAACCAGATATCAAAGTTTCAGCAAAACTTAACAGTAAGAAAAAACAGACTAAGCAGAACTTTTTGGAAGGATCTCATTGACTACTCTTAGGGTCAAGTGATCCATTTGTATAGCAATGTCTATGCTTTTCAAAAATAAGAATTTATCTTTAACAGAGAACGTAAGCAATGTGAAAACATCCATTAACTTGTACTTACGGAAATGATTAAAGGATTTTATTAGTGCCAAGAAAGAAACAACTTCCCTATCAAACATACAGAGTCACTGCAACTATTTTGTGAGGTGCAACTGATAAAATGTGCATTTGAATGTGGTTTTAAAGGTGGCTTTTGGTTTGACTTCAAGATTTGTTTGAGCATTTGGATTCAAACCAGATTTAAAGTTGCAGTTTCAAATGTAACCTTCCTCTGTTTCAATTAGCCAGGGTTTAAAAAAGTGACATTTTTGTTCAAAAATGTCATGCATTTTTGTTTGAAAATGTGATGTATTTTTGTTTGAAAATGTGATGTATTTTTATTTGAAAAAATTGTGCATTTTATTTGATAACGTGATGTATTTTTGTTTGCAAATGTGATATATTTTTGTTCAAAAGTGTGATGCCTTTCTGTTTGACAATGTGACGTATTTTTGTCCGAAAATGTGATGCATTTTTATTTGATCATGGGCTGTATTTTTGTTTTCAAATGTGATATATTTCTGTTCAAAAGTGTGATGCATTTTTGTTT